AAATATATATTATATATATATTTATTAATTTTTATAATTTTTAATTATATATTTTTATTTAAAATATATATATATTATTTTATATCTTGATTTATATATAAATATTTTTATATATATTTTTATAATTATAATTTTTAAATATATATAATTATATATTTATTTATTTTAAATATTTAATATTTTAAAATTATATTTATGCAATAAGATCAGAGTAAACAGGGGGATTTCGGTATAGCAAAACAACCACTCTGAAAAAAAAAAGAAATTCCAAACGCTTTGGGGTATCCAAAATTTTCAAGGGGAATATGAAAAGTAAAGATCCAGGAAGCTAACAAGGGGTCGGCCAGCACCTCACTATCAGATCCCACAACGGTTAAAAACCTGACGGCGCCCACCCAATGGATAGTCCTTTGCACAAATCCCCCCACAAAATATTCTACCCAAGAAAATTTAAAAATTTTTGTCCCGTTTTATTAAATTCTTCCCAAATTCTATTAAATTATTAAAGGGTCTAATTTTTTAAACCAAAGGAAATTTATATTATTTTAAAACTGCTTTTTATAAACAAATTCAATTTATTCCTGTCGACCTGGACTTGCTTGATACTACTTTCCAAAAATTTTTTAAATCAATTGGGTGGTTAAAATCTCTTCATAATAAATAGAGCATTGGGAAATTTTTCCAGTTCTAAAATATATTTATGTTTTTTTATCTTGTTCGAGATTTTTTCCCCTTTGACCGAATAAACTTTTTCGCAAATTTTCAAGGGAACTTATAGACACACCATCAGCTTTTGGGGGGGAAATTTTTATCTTTCATGTTCCTTTATAAAGTGAGTAGCACGAAAAAGCTTGGGAAATTTTCTATTTTTTTAGATGGTTTTTTTGCATTTAATATATAAAATTTTTTTATATTTATATATATATATATATATATATATATTTTTTATATATTATATATATATATATTTTTATTATTATGTATATATATGTATATATATATAATATATATATTATAATATATTATATATATTTATAATATATTTATATATTTTTTTATATATATAATATATATATATATATACAAGGAAATTTGCCCAAAAGGGAGGGCGAAATATCCAAACACTGATCTCGGGTGAAGGGGACTCGAAACCCCGAACCTTGGAACAAGGACGGTGTTATACCCAAACTAACCACACTGGACAATACCTTGGCGTGCAGTTGCGCTAACGTTTTGACCAAGGCAGCCAGCTTTTAGGGAGAAGGTTAAACTTTTATCTGTCCCCCGCTGCATCAATTTCTGAGGTTTTTAAAAACGCAAAGGGTTTCAAGGAGGGGAAATTACAAAAACTGAATTCCTTTCCAGAGATAGGTTTATTTTATATATATAATAATATATAATATATATAAATAAATATATATATATAAATATATATATATATATTATATATTTTATTATATGTGTGTGTGTGTTGTGTGTTGTGTGTTGAGTTTGTGTACAGTATATTATTTATTTATATATTTATTTTTATATATATATTTTATTAATATAATATATTATATTATTATATATATATATATGTTTTCCAAAGTAAATGGGGGTCATAAAAAAACTCATTTAAAGAGAGAAGCTCTGTAATTCAAGGGGACGGCCCCAGTTTTATCCCCCCATTTTTGAGGCTAACAAAGGGCAAACCCTTTAGAAAATGAAGGAAAAAAATAGGCCCCAATTCCCCGGTGTGGCACTGAATTGAGACAGTTAATGATTTTAGATAAGAGTCCAATTTTTGCCCGTGTATTTTGCCCCAACTAAAAAACCATTAATTTTAAAAACTCTCACTGAAATTTTTAGAATGAAGCTTTTTGCTTAATAATTGCCCATTCTACAATATTTCCTTTTAAAAAAAAGAGGAACAAAGAGGGTGACTCTTTTTTCTTGCCTGTTTTTCCCGGGGTTTTTACGACCTCTAATGGGTTGAAAATCGCGTTTTACTCCGTGCTATTTGTCAAATATCGGGGTTTTTATTTTCCCACTTCTAAAGAAAATTTTCCCCTTTGTCCCAAAAATTTAGAGGGCTGCAGCCACTGCAAAAACCCAAATTTGTAGACACCCCCTACACACTGTTTTGGGGGTTTAAATTTTTTATCAAAATGCTTCTAACATCCGTGAATTTCTAAAAACTTGTATATTAAATCTTTTTTAAAGGTATTTGGGAGGATAGGTAATTTTTTTAGCTGCCAGCAAGGCGAATTTCCCCAAGCACCCTAGGTACCACAGTTTCATGCCCAATTTAAACATCTTAATTTTTTCTCTAGGAATCCCGACTTCAGAAAAAAAAAGTAAGACATACAGTCCTATTAACTCTTTCCTCATGGTTGGAATAGTAGTGAATGTATGAGCACACATTGATGGCCTTCCTACATGCAGTGGAACCTCGGCACTTGAACAGCTCCGTACTCGAACATTTCGGTATTCGGGAAGCTTTGTTGGTATAAAAAAATATAGGTATAGACCCTTTGTCGGGACTGACCAAACAAACATACCTGCTGAAAACCCTCCTCAGTCTCCCCCCCCGCTGTCCCCTAGCCCAAAACTCCACTGAACTTGACTGTAAACTATTTCATGCTTCTTCACATTTTTGGGTGTTTTTTTTTATATTTGTATAAATAAGTCTCCATGGGGCCTAAGAAGATTAGTGATACCCCTCAACCAAGAAGAAAATTGGTTAGATTGTGTTTGCCCTGATGTAAATACTTGCTCTGCCTCTCCATGTAATATGCCTTTCGTTAATTTCGGCGTCTTTATGGCACTTCTAGGTTATCTATTGTGTTTCTGATATCAAGTTGGAATAAATGTTATAGATAGATAACCTTTATTACTAATATTATCGTAATTCCACAACATTGTGTTCGCACCACTGCTAATATCCGTCTATCAAGATGACTCATCAAATATTGAATGCTACTTCTGCTGGTCCCTCCCTCTCTCTCCTATAGCTCCTCCCACTTCGGACCCCTCTTATATCACGCTTGCTTTCCATTTTGCATTCTTATTCACACAAAAAATAGATTTACTGTTATGCAGAATACTGCATTATTGAACAAAATGGTATAAATAATATCAGTGCATTTGTGAAAGTATATTAGACCCACCAGTTGACGTGTATTGGACACATGACGTGATTTGTTTAATATTTAACATCAGCATAAATCCAACATTTCCGCTAATTTGAGCTCAGTTTCAAGGTACTTTTATTCTATAAACCATTCAAAATCATCTCTATTTTTGCAATATATTTTTCATTCAATCAAATGAGACCAAGAGAACTAGAATACAATCATAAATACCATTCGAAAATAACACCGCAATGTCGCTCTAAGTGTATTTTTGGGGATCTGAAACGGATTAATCAAATTTACATTATTCCTTTTTGGGAAAAAAATGTTCGGTGCTGGAATAGATCGGCACTCGAACAGCTTATGGGAACGAATTAAGTTCGAGTACCGAGGTTACACTGTACTGCAAATTTAAATTTTCTATCAACCTTGTGTATCTTCACATCTAAGAACGGAAGTTTATAATCCACCTCTGAATTTAATAGATGGGACTAAAGCATTAAGTCTTGGTAAAAATGTATCAAGGGCCATATCATTTGAGCAACGAAAATTTATCTGCTTAATCACGAAAGGAAACGTTATTTATTGATGTTAAAAAGGCCAAACAAAAGTTTTTCAACATGGTACCACTCGAGTAGCAAGATCATTTACGTGATTACATATATAGGGGATTGAGAATAATGAAACGGAATGTTTACATGCTAGGAAACTGAACAATCTCATAGCACAAAGTGGCTGGTCTCAAAATGCTAACCCGGAGATAGCTATAAACCTGGCGAGTGTTGAACTTACTTGTAACCAACAGACAGCATTGGCATATGGGTTAAGTTTCGTGGGGACACTAATTATGTTGACATTGCCAAATCTTTTTGCAATTTGGAAAAAGAAGGGGACCTATCCCCTGAAACGTTCTACATTCTCAAAAACCTCTGGGACCGAACTGCTCTCAAAGAATTATTGAGTCGTACCATTAAATAAAGAAAGATCCTAGACTTCACCTTACGAGAGCTGGCAAAGCAAACGTGATAAGTTATTATGGACAAGGTAGATTATACCGAAGAAATGAACACATTATTAGAAGACAGGGATACTTACGTACCTCTTAATAAGAATCCTTAATAAGAACCCTTACTTAGAGGTAATGAGGTATTAATTAAACAGTTATCGGCGAGATCTGTGACACTCCATTACTTGTACGGGTTGGTTAAAACCCACTAGCCTGGTTTGCCAGCCAGACCTATTATTAGTTCAGTAGGATCAGCATCATTTGCCTTGTCAAAATGATTGGTAAAAATATTATCTCATTTGCTTGGCAACATTTCGATGGCTGAAGAATTGAGACACGCAAAATATGGGAATCTTTACTGAAGAAACGTTTCGCCAAACAGTGGCTTCACCAGTCCAATACAAAGTAGAAATGGGTAAGGAGAGGAGGAGTTTGAGGTAATCAGTCCCTCAGCCTGGAATCGATGTGTTCAGTCCATCACTCTTGTAGGTAGTACAGCATAGGGCCAGATAGGTGGCTTATATACTGCAGTCAGGTGAGTTGAAGCAGGAGGAGGCGGGATCACAGTGGGACCTGCCACTAGTGTAAGTAGGTCGTCGTCCGAAGGTTGGACAAACTTCTCAATGCTCTGCATACAGAATGATGCTAGATTCAATGCTTTTTTAGTGATTATTATAATAATTTATTATTCACCTTGGGAAAGCATATCAGGATTTTATTCCAGTTAATGTTGATCTGATAAATCTGTGTTATCCTTACTTTTCTTCGATTAAGAAAATATATTGCAGCCTCTGTTAGCCTTCATACTTGTCAACAATATCTACGTTCCTCAGTGTGTTTCTTTGGTGTTATGTGTTTGTATGTTTTTATGCCGCCAGATGTACACGGGGACGGGAGTTTTGTCTCAGTTCGTCAACCTACACGTCAACACGCCACGTGCTGCCATCCTCGGTCCTCAGGAGCTGCACGTGCAGGAAGGTGACACCATCACCCTCATCTGCGTCATCCAGCAGGTTGGTGAAACCAGCACCTACATCTGTATCAAACAACATTTAATTAACACCTAAATATGAGAGCAGGTGTTGTGTGGTCAGGAATTGTCATCACAGGTGTTCTGAAGCCACGTGTTGTGTGAGTAATTAGTTGTGAGGGGCAGATGTTAAGAATACAGATGTTGTGAGAACAGGTGTTGTGATGGCAGGTTTCATTAAGATTAATGTATAAGCTAATGAATTATTGACAGACTTACATATATTTCGGTAGCTGATTCCAAATCACGTAAGGTTTTTTTCACAGTATGTAGACCTTTACTTAAAGACATTAAAAAACATTATGTTACCAAAAAACATTTATAAAAATATTTATAAAATTTAACACTAATAAATTCCTGACTTCTTGATAAATTTGTCGTTTCCCGTCTAAACTGCGCTTGCAAGTTTTCAGTTTATGAATTTTTCGTGATATATCTTTCGGCAACATCATGCAGTAGTCATCATGTTGACAATTTATTTCAATTGTACCTTCTCTCCATTTCCTTTTTATCCCGGTGAAACCTTTCACTTTCCTCTTCACTCAAGATTTTCCGGAAAGTAGTCCAATGAGCATCCAAGAAATGTCCCTTAATTATGGCTCCAGGATATGTACTTTAAGCCCTTGAACCTCTCTAACATATGCTTCCTAAATGTTTTTGGTTTGGATTCTTGTGGTTTCATAAGAGCTTTTTTTATGATTTATTTGAAGGCAGCCATGACTCTTGTAGAACATCAAGTAAAGAGTCTTCAGTATTATCGTCCAGAAGAAGTTTCCTTATATTTAGCTCGACAGATATGTATTCTTTGAGCTTGCCATCCGACAGTCCATGAAACTTCTTCCACAAAGATTTAAAACCGTCTGCATTTCGAGGTAAAACTTAATCAAATTACTTCATTAACTCAATTTTTCTGTGTAGAGGAGGCAAGACAACATTTCTGGACTAACCACACAGTCTAGTGCTACACTGTTTTTGGTGTAAGACTATTCCTACTTGAGGTCAGCTAGGAGCTTACAGCCTCAGGTGCCCTGTAACCCCTTAACACTTTCCTCAGATCTTGTTTTCCCCTATCCACATTCATGTTAAGATATGTTATATAACTAAGGATAGTGAAAACTACTTTGTAGGCTATTAACCATAACCAGTATGTGATACATAAATTTAAGCATCATTTACGAAATCATCACAACGAAACTGATAAGAAAGAGGCAACAAATCTTAAGAAAAGAAATTGATGTAGGTCTATACTTGATAAAAAGACACTGTCAGAAGATAGACTTTTATTATGACAGTGTTATGCTTATGGTCTTTGCTTTTTATAAGCCTTTAACGAGAATAATGAAAGCATGGTATACACAGTGGGAAGAGCCGGTGTCGAAGAGTCTTGTGGTTTCAATCTGTGTCTGGTAAAGTGGTCGGGATGTTCTGAGGATAATGTGACCTAGGGGTCCAGCCAACGGAAAATTTTCCTTGTGACGGGTGATGCTGTCTCTGATGTGAATGAGAGCCGACTCCATGCATTTTCTTCCGTTCCTTTCTTTTTCAGGAATATATTTGGACGTACTGAACTACTCATTGTAGTGCGAAGCTGTATTACATTTAAAAACATCAGTTTTTTAATGTAATATGGCATCGCTCAGGCAAGAGTTTGTTTTCATACGCGTATGTGGACAAATCTTTAGCCGTTGAATCCTTAAATACATTATAGCAACCACAACAACGGATGGTAGATGCATGCATTCTCTTCAGGACTGGTTTTAGCCCTTTTAATATCTTTGATGGTGGCAGTGACATAATTAGCTCTATTAAGTAATCCATGCGTTCTTAGGTACCTTGGATATAGGGTAGACGAGAATGAGATTACTTTTGATACATACTCTGTGCTTTCGTTTTCTAATTCTATTTGTAGGTGTCACGAACATGTAAGCTGTGGGAGAATTCTGTGGTTTTGAGGCACTTCTCTTCCAGGATAGCATAGCTGCAGATTCTCTGAGCCTTAGAAACAAACCCAAATGAACCCCTCAATAGTTGTAATAGATTAGAGAGACTAAAAATTAATGAGATCATTCTTGTTAGTGGGTTTACAGATTAAACTGAAAGGAGCTGCTACTTGAACTTTCATGAATATGACGTCCATGAATAGCAGAGTATTTCTGTTTTCCCTCTCTACGGTGAAATAAATAGAAGGCTCAATAGCAATGAGATCGGTAGAAGAGACTGAATGAGTTCGGTGCGATGATGTCTTCGGCATACGTCATCTACGAAATTCCAGGAGGAACGGAGTCACAGTCTCTCTCATCCTGAAGGTATTCCATGTAGAAATTTATGGAGATCCCCATCAGGAAACTCGTCTGCTGCTTGTAAGGATGGTTAGAGAAGGTATGATCGTAATATATAAACTTGGTCTCCAAGCGATACGTTGTCTCAGTGAAAGTTCTACTCTACTATAGAGTACCCTTTGATTACCTTCTCAGTGTACATCCACTTCTGTAACTGAATTACTCGTTATTACAGAACGTGGCAGCCTGTGTTGTCAGAGCACCATCCAACCCTCTTGTTGCATATGTTATCTTCTCTAAGACCTGGTGACTTTGTTTCATGCGGTCGCACATAAACCATTGATTGAGAGACATTCAAAGATTCATGAAGTTGCACTTAGCTCTTACTCCAACTGGTGGTACTCAGTATTTACTGTGGTCTCATATGTTTCTTAACACCGGTAAAATCTACATGAAATATGAGCTATATTTCTTTGTATATGGCTCCTGGGTTGTCACTTAACTCTCAGTCACTTTGAAAACCAAAAACATAATACCTTTTACAATTACCTGGAATGTGTGGATAAAAAGCGAGAGCTGAGTTCTGTACAGAACAAAACCCAACATGATAAACCTTTACACTGGGCGAAACATGAAATGATAAAGCTCTATATAAAGCGAAGCAAAGCACCTTAAAGCTCATCACAGAGTGAAACTGACAAGATAAAACTGTATGTGTAAATTATAATAATAATAATAATAATAATAATAATAATAATAATAATAATAATAATAATAATAATAATAATAATAATAATAATAATAATTATTATTATTATTATATTTACTACAAGTACATGTACAAGGTATACAGTCCTAGCTGACATCAATGACATACTACTATACAGAAAGACGCTTATTATGCAGATCATTTCAGGCAAATTAGGTCAGTGTTGTCCCAAGATGAGACCCACACCAGTCGACTAACACCCAGGTAACCCATTTTACTGATAGGTGAACATAGACAACTGGTGTAAGGAAACACGACCGATGTTTCCACCCCTTCGCCGGGAATCGAACCCAGACCCTTACCAACTCAAGCGAGACCATCTGCCATCAGGCCACGTGGCACACAGACACGACAACGTTCTATACGGAGATAAACATTTCATTGTTAAACTCTACACATATTAAATGTGATTTGGAAAAGTTTTCAAAGAAAAAACATGACTTGATAAAGCTCGAGACAAAGAGATACAAAAAATTAATACATAATAATTTTTTTTTAAGGAATATATATATATGGGTCGCTGAGTTTTTTTTTTAAGGAATATATGTATATGGGTCGCTGAGTATTGCGAGAAAATTATCCCCGTATCTTATTAGTTCAACCCCATCTACCTCAACGTATTCAAAAAAGAATAGTGCAGAGTAGTCATGAAAATCTTATCCAGGAAAATATAGGTGCGCGTATTTATGTACTCACCTAATTGTGGTTGCAAGGGTCGAAAGTCACAGCTGCTGGCCCTGCCTCTTCACCGGTCCGTACTAAGTCACTCTTCCTACTCCAAGAACTTTATGTATATGTACGTGTATATATATATATATATATATATATATATATATATTATTGTGACCACGAACGAGTGGTATTGATCAATAACAACACTGCACCAGCCAAGCATTCGAACCCATGGTGGGCGAAAACGCATGACGCCCTAATCAACTGGACCGTACGATCGTTACAAGTAGGACATCCAGCGGAACTGGATGTTGTACTCCCTACCCAAGGACACACGATGGTGTGGATGACTCTAGGCTAATTTCCACACCAGCGTGTGTCCTTGGATAGGGAGTACAACATCCAGATCCTCTGGATGTCCTACTTGTAAGGATCGTATGGTCCAGTGGATTAGGGCGTAATGCGTTTTCGCCCAACATGAGGCAGGCCAAAGCTGCATATATAATAATAATATATATATATATATATATATATATATTTATATATATATATATATATATATTATATATATATATATATATATACATATACATATATATATATATATATATATATATATATATATATATATATATAATATATATATATATATATATATATATATTATACAAACATGTATGTATATATTATATATATATATATATATATATATATATATATATATATATATATATATTTATGTATGTCGTGCCGAATATGTAAAACTCGTCAATTAGCAAGAACTCCTTTAAAATTAAGTCCTTTCTAAAATTTTCTCTTATACGTTTAAAGATATATTTTTTTTTCATTAATGTTAATGTAAAAATTTTTAATTTTGCTCCAAAAGAATCTTAGAAAACTTACCTAACCTTATTATAACAAGAACAATTTATTTTAGCCTAACCCAACTAAATATATTTTAGATTTGTTTACAGTAATTTAATACTAAACAAACACAGTGAAATATATTTTTTTCGTTAGGTTCAGAATGATTTTGGCGAAATTATTGCATACACAAATTTTCACTTGTCCTATATGGCAAGATGAGCGTTGCTTTTTAAGCCAAGATCGCAAGTTCTGCCTATTCGGCACGACATATATATATATATATATTATATATATATAATTATATATATATATTTATAATATATCTATATATATATATATATATATATATATATATATATATATATATAATGTCTTGCTTAATAGGTAAAACTGGTC